TACAATTGCTGTTGGGCAGCTGCAGTCTCTATTCCCGTTCTGTAGGTGGTTGGGTTTGCCATGAGGGGAAGGTAGGGGGGGGGGGGGGGGGGTATGGGGGCTTGCGCTCGAGTGGGAACAGGTTTGTAGAATGTTCTTTTCTAACAGAGAAGTCGCCTGTCCTATGCCCCTGGCATTTGCCGGTCTTTTCGTTATCTCTTATGTATCGTTTTTTTTTTTTGTTCTTGTTGTTGTGGGGCAGGTGCTGGTTTTCTGGAGCGGGTGCCATGACTGCCTGCCTAGCCACTTCCGTCTCGTCCGTCTTGTTTACAATGCCTGTTGTCGTGTCCCCCTCCCCTCCCCCTTGTTTTCCGCTGCGCACGCCTCCTCCGCCCCCACCCGCCCACTGCCGTTCTCCTCGTGTTGCTTCGACCTCGAGCAGGTTTTGCATGCGCTTCAGATGTGGAGCCGGAAGTCGTCGAAGATGACCTACATGAACCTCAAGGGAGGCATCTCTGCCATCGAAAAGGACAAGGTGATCGATTTATCATCGAGAGTCCGTGGGGTTCTCGTCGTTGTCGTGTTGCTGCGATGACCGACGGGTCGTAAGTTTGTGGGTGCTGGGGTTAAGAATTGCTTGTCCGACCCGAGAAGACAGTGTAGGCGGCAACAGCAGCAGCGACGAAATATTTTTTTCTTCGTACCACAATACCACCCGGTAACACGACGGAGCACCAGCCACCACCACCAACTGCTGCCAGTGAAAAGCAGCTGACCGCCACCAGCAACAAGGAGCACGAAAATGACCCAAGACGCAAGTGACATGACCATCGCCCCTAAATAGTACCATCGACGACAGAAACATCACCGACAACTTGCAACATCTTCCGCCCCCTCTCTCTGACTCTATATCTATCTATCTATCTCTCCCCTCCCTCCGTCCCTCCCCTCCCCTCCCCGCAGAATCAGAGGATCGGGCCCTTCGATGCGGCTCGCAGCATCCTCGGGGGGGCCTCCCGGACACCCCTTCGCGACCGATACGAGCTCTTCTTCACCGACTACAGCCTGCTGCCCCTGCTGGTCCACCAGAACTACCTGTCGAGCCTGATGCAAGTCGATGCCAAAGTGAGGACGGAAGTGACTGCCGCGGCGTCCGCGGCGGTGAGCGACGCCGACATCATCAGCGGGAAGATGAGGTGGGCCGGGGAAGGTTTGTGTGGTGGGTGGTGGGCGGTGGTGGTGGTGGTGGTGGTGGTGTTGCTGTTGCTGTTGCTGTCGATAGTAGTGGTAGTGATGGTGGTGCTGTAGATAGTAGTGGTAGTGATGGTGATGGCGTGGGTGGTCGTGGTGTTGATCTCACAGTTGGTTATTGTTTTTCCTCTTGTTGGTGCTGTTGCTGTTGCTGCTGTCGTTTGTGGCGTGATGGTGCTGATCTCTCACAATCGTCGGTTGTCAACATCGTTTGGGCACCATCGCAGCATTCTTTCGTTTTATTCCTTCTTGTCTTGTCTTGGGAGAAGAAGGGGGAGGCAAACAATTTTTTTGCTACGGTACTGTACGTGGCGCCGTCAAAAACCACGCGCACAAACACCCCCCCCCCTCCCACGCATGCGTGCCCTCCCCACCCCCCTCCGAAAACAGGCTCAACGCTTCGGTTTGTGTGTTATTTGCAGGTTTGAAATAAATATGATATCCATCTTGTGAGAAAAAAATGTAGGGGACCGAGAGCTCCTCGTCCCCATCCCGCGCCGATTATGTTTATTGTTGCGAATGTGTTTTGCCAAAACCCAAATCATATCATTGCAACAACCACACTGAGTCATCAAACAATAACTCCACCCCCCTCCGAAAACAGGCACAACGCTTCGGAGAAACAAAATATGATATACATGTTGTGAAACAAAAATTGTACCATAAGGGACAGGGAGGTCCTCCTCCCCTTCCGACGCCAACTACAGCCGCAACCACACATGAATCACCCAACAGTAACGCCACCATGAACAACTCCTCAACCCCTCAGGGGGGACGTCCAGCACTGGGAGCTCCTGCCCGCGCAGGCGGCCCTGAACGTGAGGGTCGGGTCCGTCGGCGGCGGCAGCCTGGGCTTCCCCGAGTTCCCCAAGTGGCTGGGCAACTACAGCAGGGAGAACAAGCGTCGGAGGCTGCTGGGGGAGCTGTCGACACACCTCAACGCCAGCGTGAGCGGCGGCACAGAGGTGTGAAAAGAGAAAGAAATTAGAGTAGATCATGGAGAGGAGTGGGCTTGGTTGGGGGGACTGGGCAGATGTTTGTTTCGTAGTAGCACGCCTTATGGTAGCGAGCTCGTTGGCTTTATACGTGGGCGAGGAGACTCGGGTTGATTGCGTTCAAGGCTGGTTGATTTGAGTACAGCGCCGTGCGTTTATTGTGTCTCTTCTTTTTTTGTGTCAATTTCGGTGTGAGGTTAAGAGAGAGATAGATATCCGTGATTGTCAGTGTTGGTGTATTCGGGCCCGGCTTTGAGGGTGGCATTGGAAACCAAACCCGGCCTCCCTTACCGGGAACCCGTTGGTTTTCCCCGCTCCAAGGCTCTCCCCTGTCGCCCGAACCCAACCTAATCGGTCTGTCTGTCCTGCTTACCCGCGTCTCGCCCCCGATCCCTGCACGTATACACGTTGCCGCCGGCCCCCAAAGGCGGTTAGGCTGTCGTACATTCACTTCCTGAAGAGGCTGCTAACCCAGCCGTTGCGAGAGGAGGGCGCGGCGGGGGCCCCGGCGTGTGTGGACCTCCTGGAGGAGTACGGTCTGTCGAGGGACGATCTTTTCGAGGTCCGTTTCTCTCTCTCTCTCTCTCTCTCTCTCTCTCTCTCTCTCTCTCTCTCTCTCTCTCCCTCTCTTTTTCGTTCTCGATTGATGAATCATGAGTGTTCAGGTTCACTCTCTGTTTCTCTCGATTGTTCTTGACTTTTTTATTCGCCACGTGTATTCAGGTTCACTCTCACTGTTTTCTCTTCTTCTTCTTAATTTCATGCGTAATCGCGTTCACTTGTTCTTGTTTTTTTATGAATAACGCGTTTTCAGGTTCACTCTCTGTTCTGTCGTTGATTTTTTGTTTATCGCGCGTATCCAGGTTCACTCTCGCTGTTTCCTCCTATCCTTCTTGATGTTTATTTCATGCGCAATCGGGTTCACTCTCTCTCTCTCTCTCTCTCTCTCTCTCTCTCTCTCTTTGTTCTTGGTTATTTTATGAATCGCACGTTTTCAGGTTCACTCTCACTCTGGTCTCTTATTCCTCTTGATGTTTATTCCATGCGTATTCGGGTTCACACTTTTTTCTTTGCTCTTGATTTTTTTATGAATGACACGTTTTCATATTCACTCTCTCTCTCTATCTCTCTGTTTCTGTTTTTTTTTTTTCATTTATCGTGCTGATTCAGGTTCACTCTCTTTTCGAAAGTATGGCACATCCGTTCGGCTCGTTTTCTTGTGTCCATCAAGGGGGTCGCCCCCAGTGGTTAGCCTCGTTTCTTTCGCGGAGCATGTGCACTAGTCAAAAGGGCCCCTTACCGCAGCACATGAAAAGAGGTTTTGTTGCTCTGGGATCTCGCACAGAAGAGCACGGCACGTAGTTTCTGAGCCTCCCACCGAGGTATGTGTTTGTTGTGGACGGTTACGCCCCCCCCCCCCCCCGGGAACCCGGGCCCGGGAAAAACCCGGGTGGTCCCTCCCCGGTTTTTCCGGAAGGGAGGGCAAAGGGCCCACGACTACCGGACGCACGAATCCCCTGGGGGGTCCAAAACCACCCCCAACCCCCCCTTTTATGTGGGCCAATTTTTTAAAAAAAAGGAAAGGCCCCCCCACCTAACCAGCAAACGCTAACT